GCTGCAGGTACCCGCGACGGAGCTGGAGCGGCCGCAGCCGCGGCGGCGGCGGATTTCGTGATCCCAGAACCTCATGTTGTTGGGCTTGACAACACGGATATCGATAACCTTGACGCCGGCGACGGCGGCGGCAGCGGTGGCGGCGGAGCTGCCAATGGAGCTGACGGCGGCGGCAGCGTTGAAGCGTGCGGCGGCAGGGAGGCCGTCGCACAAGCCAGCAGCACACCTGCAGTTGCGGCATTACGTGGTATCTATGGAGAGCGGGGAGCTGTTGCATGTGGGGATGCTGTGGCTGTAGCACCCGTCCCAGCCGCCACGGCCAGGGAAGTGGCTGCAGCCCTCACTGGTGCTGTAGCCGTTGCGCCGCCGCCGCCGCTCTCAGGTGGTGACGGACGTGAAGGCGCTACTGCGGACGAGCATGATCCTATAACGGATGAAGACTCCGACGGAGAGTTCGCCCTGTACGGCGTCTCCCGTACTCCTAAACGGCGTCGTACTGACGTTGGCACAGGCGGTACCTGGCGAACGGGTGCTAACGTCACGCCGCCGTCACCGCCGCCGCCGCCGTCGCTTCATCGTCGTGCAGAGGCACTTGCATTGGGCGGCGTCGACGCGCGGTCCAGCCCCGGCGGCAGCGCCGCCGGCAGCGGCGGCGATAGCCGCCGCCGATTGCCGCAGCATCAAGACCCGCTTGCAGTACACTCGCAGTACACTCCGCATACACCGTACGCCACACAGGTTGCCGGCTCGCCGGCGTCACGCCAGACTCCCAGGACCCAACCTTTGCCGTTGTCGCCTTCGAACGCGGCGCGCTTGGCGCCTCCCTTGCCGCCGCGTGCTGCTGATGGTGCTGCTGCTGCTACTGCCCCTGCCGCTGCAGCTACTGCAACGGCTGCTGTGGCGTTCGCATCGGATGCACCCGAGCTCACTGCGCTACCTGAGCCCGGCATCGTCGGGGGGCCCAGCCCGGGGCAGTTCCCCTCACCCCGCTTGGAAACGGCCTGGGAGAGGTATCTAAGGAACCAGGACACGCACACACACCACGGTCAGCGTGGTAACCTACACCAAGCGCCACTGCAGCTGCCGCCGCAGGGGCTGCTGCTGCAGCTGCCGCCGCCGCCGCCGCTGGACTCCTCGCCGCCTCGGTTGCTCGGGGCGGGGGGCGGGGGGAATCGGGTGGAGGAGAGGGGGCAGCAGGAGCGGGAGCAGGGAATGGAGCAGGAAGGGGAGCAGGAGGGGGAGGGCGGGGTGACTCCGTGGGTACGGAACCTTTTTGGGGGCGCTGCGCAGATACCCCAGTACGACGGAGGGCAGGACGCCGACGTCGACAATGAGACGTACAGCAACAGCAACGGTGGAGGCGCCCGCCGCGCCGCGGCGGCGGGGTCTGCAGTCGCTAATGCTCGTACCGCTGTTGGGCTCAGGGGCCGCCAGCGGGGAGCCGCCGCTGGTGCCGCTGGCGCCGGCCGTACATGTCCAGGTGGGGCCTGCGGCGGAGGTGCTGTAGGGCCGCCGATGCGGCGGGTGGTTTCGGGGCTCTTCCGCCCTGGCGGTCGCGCGGCCAGCCAGCCTGTACCGCACACCGCCGCCGGCAGCGCTGGGATGGACGCCGCCGACAGCGCGATAGGAGCCGACGTCATCGCCTCAGCACACGTTGACGTCAGCTCCAAGACAGGGTTGGCGTACAGCAGCAGCCAGAACGCCGCCAGGCTACGTGGCGTGAGTGGCGGCATGGAGGGAAGGAGTGGTGTGGCTGCGGCGAAGGGGAGTTCTAGGGACGGCGGCGGCAAAGGGAGGGCACTAGGTGGCGGTCGGTATGGAGGTGGCAGTAGCAACGGCGCTGGCAGTAGCAGCGGCGTTGTTGTTGTTGGCGGTGGTTGTGATCAGCCCTATGCGGCGGCGGCGGCGGCAGCGACGGTGGAGCCGCTTTTGTTGCCGCCGGACAGCCCGGCGGCGGTGGTCGCGGGACCCAGCGGCGCCTCCAACGCGGCAACGGCGGCGGCGGCGCCGCCGCCGGCCCCCGCCGGCAGTTTCCTCCCGTCCTCCCCGTTATGGGCGGTGCTTTTCGATCAAGATAATGGTGACGAGACCGACGAAGAGGACGACGGTGGCTGCGACGGCGTTGACATTGCCACCAACGGTGATGACGACGGCGGCGATGACAGTGATGATGAAGACGAAAGGGTCTCGGACACGCGCCCAGGTGGCGGAGGTGGTCGTTATGAGGTTAGTCGAGGAGGTGATGGCAGCCATCACCTTGGCAGCGGTGACGGAAGCCCTGATGGCGACGGCGACGACAGCGACGTCAGTGACGACGGCGCTGGCGGCGACGAATGCCATGACGGGACCGCCAGTGGCGGCGGCGACGCGGAAACCGAACGTTCACCCCTGCCGGCGTTTATCCTGCCGCCGCCGTTGTCGCCGCCTCCGTCTGCGTCGCCGCCGCCTCCGCCACCGTCACCGGCGGCAGCTACGCAGGGGTCGGATGCCGCCGCCGCCGTGGCTGCGCTCGCCGCCGCTGGCATCCATGTCACCGCAGCAGCACCCGTAGCAGCACCCGCGGCCCCACCAGGGGCTCAATTTGTTGCTACAACCGCCCCGGAGGCTGTGGCTGTAGCAGCGAACCCCACGATGCCAGCGTCAGGCGCAACCGTTGCGGCGCTGGCGACATCCGCGCCGGGGAATGAAGGACCGGCAGAAGGTGACGGGAAGCGCGAAGCGGCGGCGGCGGCGGCGGGGGCGGCGGGGGCGATGGCGGGGCCGGCTGCGGAGGGTCGAGGGATGGCGTTTACGGCAGATGCAGCGGCGGAGGCGCAGTGGACAACTGCCCAGCAGGACGCTGCTGGGGGGAGTACTCCCCCGCTTGCGCCGCGGAAGGAACTGGAAACGGGTCGCGCTACAGGTGCAGTGCTGGTACAGCATGCCGCCACCGTCTCCGCCTCCACTGGCCCATACGTTCGGGGCGAGGCTGTAGCTGACATGACAACAGCCGTCACTCCGAGCGGCAAGTCAACCGTTGACGGGCGCGGGGCCGGTAGCCCGGGGGCAGCAGCCGCCGCCGTCGCCGCCGCCGCGGCTGTTAATGCCAACAAGGCTGCTGACGCCGACGCCGTCCATATTTGCAGTACCGGCGGCAGCGGCGGCGGCGGCGGCGGTGGTGACCCATCGCCTTTCTCCCCGCAATGTGGTCAGCACACGCCAGTGAACCATGGGTCAGCGGACTCTTCTCGGGCCGCCTCCCCTGGAGCTGTAAAGGCGCCGGCGGCAAGTGCCCAGAGGGGCTCCCCAGAGGGTGGAATGGGAGGAGGGATGAGACGGCTACGGGAAGCAGCAGCGGCAGTAGCAGTAGCGGCGGCGGCGGAGCCGCCAGGGCTGCAGCCGCCTGCGCCATCTGGAGGCGGGACCGATGTTGATGGCGTTGCCGTACGGACGCCGGGCAGTACCGTTGCAGCTGCTGGCGCCGCCAGCTCTCGAGCAGTCTGCACGCCAGCGATGGCGGCGGCGGCGGCCGCAGCGCTGGCGGCGACCGTTAGGAAGCGAATCGACAGTACCGTAGATGGGGGCGGCGGCGGTGGCGGCGGCAGGGACCAGCATGGTCTCGGCCGCCGCACCGGCGGCGCCGCAGCCGCGCTAACGGCAGCTGCCGGTGGTGGAAATACGGCACCCTTGCCGATGGCAGCGGAGCCGAATGCGGTGAATGGTGACGGCGGCGGCGGCGGTGGCGGCGGTGGCGGCGGTGGCGACAGCAGCGGGGAGGACGTGGAAAGGCGAAGCGGGTGGCGGGCCAAGCGACGGCGCAGCGACAGCGATAGCGATGGCAGTGGAGGAAGCGGCAATGGCGATAGCGGTAATGGCCGCGGCCGCGGCGGCGGCGGCGGCAGTGGTGATGGAGGCGACGCCTGGCGTAACGACGACGGCGACGACGACGACGAGCCGGATGGGGACAGCCCAGGGGAGATGCGAGCACGTCTCTTTTGTTTGCGGCCCAAGGGTCGGCCGCCGCCGCCAGCGGCGCTTCTCGACGACGCGGAGTGGTACAACAGGCAACTACTGCCAATCGTACACACGGTACGGCGGTTTCTCCCTTTTATAAAACGGAACATCTGGTGCCGCCGGCCCCAGGCCATCCATTCACAGTCACCCTCTCACTCCTGCGGGGGGGTTCCCGCGTCTGCCACCCGCCGTGCACACGCAACGCGCGTATACCCC